TCCTGCTTCACACCAGCTGCATTGTTTCTGGCTTCTGTTCTTTCCCCAGTCCTGGAAGAAACCCCCAGTCACAGCTTGCTTTCTGAGTCTGTGTGGCCCTGCTGGTCCCAGCACCAGGCGGGTGCTACTTCTAGGTCTTCTGAAGTGCTGGAGACTTATGACATCCTTTTCAGTGAAGAGGAGGGGTGTTTCACTTGTTTTTCTGTTGTGCAGATTTGTGAGTTTATTGGGAATATATTCCAGAGCTATGCAAGTCGATTCAGATTTCCATATCCACTGCACAGGGAAACCTTAACCTTCCAGTGGGTTTGCAGGCCTGCAGGCACAGTAGCATAAAGGTTTTTGACCAGAAATGGTGTCAACTTGGTGATGTTACCTTCCCTATAGGTTGAAGATACTGTCTGTATTAACCCTGACCAGCCCAGAAGGCCAGCCGTATCCACCCCAGAAGGCCAACTATATCCTGGGCTGCATCCAAAGCAGCATGGCCGGCAGGTCGAGGGAGGTGATTCTGCCCCTCTACTCTGCTCTGGTGAGACCCCACCTGGAGTCCTGCATCCAGCTCTGGAGTCCTCAGCACAGGAAAGACGTGGACCTATTGGAGCGGGTCCAGAGGAGGGCCACGAAAATGATCAGGGGGATGGATCATCTTCTCCTATGAAGAAAGGCTGAGAGAGTTGGGGTTGTTCAACCTGGAGAAGAGAAGGCTCCTGGGAGACCTTATTGCAGCCTTTCAGTACTTAAAGGGGGCTTATGAGAAAGATGGGGACAAACTTTTTAGCAGGGCCTGTTGTGACAGGACAAGGGAGAATGGTTTTAAACTAAAAGAGGGTAGATTTAGACTAGGTATAAGGAAGAAATTTTTTACAATAAGGGTGGGGAAGCCCTGGAACAGGTTGCCCAGAGAGGTGGTAGATGCCCCATCCCTGGAAACATTCAAGGTCGGGTTGGATGGAGCTCTGAGCAACCTGCTCAGCGATGAAGATGTCCCTGCTCACTGCAGGGGGGTTGGACTAGATGACCTTTAAAGGTCCCTTCCAATCCAAACTATTCTATGATTCTATGAACTCAATATTGCACTAGTTTTGTTACAGAGCACTCTGGAGAGGTGGGGATGAGTGACTTGTCCCCAAGCTTATAGGAGACATTAATTCAGCCCCAGAACCTGGTGATCTGTAGGTCCTGCTATTCTACCTTCAACCCCCAAAACAGTTAATCTACATGTTGGTTTCAGTGTCTTCTGTTTATCTGTTGAGTATTGTGGTTGGATTTCTGCCTTTCATAGCTATTTTCTGAAGACTACTGATCTGAATGCAACCATCCTAGCAGAAGAACTGGAAAAACTTTTTAAAATAAGCCCAGCTCTGATTCATGTGCTGATGAAAGGCTCAGGCAGTCACTGTGGAGAGCTGCAATAAAATATAACGATAAAGGCAGCCGCAGGAGACAACTACAGACAACAGGCCAAGGAGAAAGACATGGAAGGGAGGGGGAGAACTGCTGTTCCTTCCTCAGATTCCTCACTGCTGTATTGTGCGGCAGTGAAAGCTGGCAGCTGTAATGGCGCCTGGTGATGCTATTTACTTTCCTGAGATTTCTTCCAACTTGCTGTTTTATCAAGCCCACTGGATCATTACTGGTTTCCCGCTTTGCTGCAGGAGCCAAGACACCTTGTGAGGGCTAAGTTGGGGCAGAAAGCTGAGGATCCAGGTTGGCCCTTGAACAAGAGTGCATGCTGGTGGCTGGCAGTGCTCTGTGAGGGCAGGAGCCACAGAGCGATGACGCAGGAGACCAGCTTCAAAGACACCAGGCAGCAAGGCCTGATGCTGCAGGGACTTGATGCTGCAGATCTGCCTCAGGAGGAGGTTTGAGTTGGCCAAGGGTGGGCTAAAAGTGGTGGTTCCAGGCTTATGTTGCTCTGTTCTGCAGGGCAGGTACAGCCCTGCAGAGCTGCGTGGGGTCCATCCAGGCCAGCAGTGGGTCTGACTCGCAGGGTGCTGCAGACGTTGCACACAGTGCTTTGGCCTATGAGGGCAAGCAGGGGAGCCTGCCACGACTCAGCCCGCACCTCCAACGCACTGAATTTGTCCTGGGAGTCCTTTAACAGTCCAAGATCAGGGGGGTTCAATCTTGCCCTCACCTGAAGGGTGGCCCTTCATCTAATGCCTTCTCAGAAGGGTTTGCTCTCTGTCTTGTCTTTCTGGTGGGAAGCAACGACTCCAGTTCCTTTCATTCCTCAGCTTATCAGATCTGGGAAGCTCTGGCACTTGTAGATGCACACACGCACCCATATGGACATGCTGCTTTCTTGACATTCTTCTAGTCACATCCTGGGCTTCACTGTCTGGAAGGTTTTGCTAAGCAGCAGCTCGCCGTCAAGTCAGGTGTTTATCCTTAGGACAAGGTGTTGCCTGGAAAAATACAGGTCACTTCACCTGATTAATTCGTCTATGTGTAGTGTAGAATTGCTTAACATGGATAAATCTAGTTTGCTCGGCTCCCACTCAGGAGAGAGATTGTAATAAAGTGCTGTTTGAAATCCCAGCCCTTGCGTGTGGTTAGCCTGTTCTCGGGAAGGATGAGCCAACAGAAGCAATGACAGTTGCATCTGGTAAATCACAGAGTTTTACTGATGCTGCTATCCATTCTGGTGCCTAAATTCCCCCACGATCTGTACTGAATGTTAAAAAATCTGCCATTTTAGTAACAAACACAGGTTAGTTGTCATTTTTAAAGTGGCATTTAGAGCCTTTTGGGTACCTACCAGACTGCATCAAACACACAGTAAAATGGAGTGCAGAGATGACAGGAGATGCCTGTCATCTGGTTGGGACTATGGAAAATGGAAGGACTGTTTGTACAGTCTTCTCTGGCTTTGCCTCAGAGCAGGGGCTTTGGGAGGGACGTGGGGTGCTTTGAGGATGACAAAATGATATGCCCGAAGATGGAGTAAACTCTAAGCTGGGAGCTTTGAGATCAAGTGTCCGTGTGTGCCCTTCAAACCAGTTATTAGAGTTGTACCTGTGCTCCTGTCCTGTGCCTTACCCTCCCCTGCTTCCCAAAGACATAGATTTAAAAATTCAGGTGTGTAACACTGAATGGGACAGTAGTTGCGAGCAGCTTCCCACAGCCTCAGATTTTTGCTTGTGTGTGTAATCTCCGTTAGCAAGTCTTTAGTGTCTATTTGGCCGTGAAGAGGTATGTAGGGAACAACATCCAGCCTGCACTAATTATTAATGTAGAAACTCTTGTCCCATCTATAGCCCCTAAATACCTATTAGCGTATGCATTTATGGCCGCTCTCTGACAGTTTCAAAGGAAGGTCAGCTTTGCCTTTGGTCTACTTCTGCTGGACACGTGTTTTCTGACTGATGCCTAACATCAGCCCTCCGGACAGATTTGTCCAGGAGTCTAAAGCTCCTCCTGTTGAGGAGAGACTGGCAAGCAATGCATCAGTCGCAGCCTTGGTTGCTTTAATGATCTTGTCTCTCCTTTCTGATCGCTTTGGCCAAATACTACCCACAGTAAAACTGGAATAAAGGTGCAGTCAAGAGAAGGAAACAGATAGCATTGACAGAGGCTGAATTTAAAATCTTTTATTATTTAGCTTTGCCAAACAGATAATGGAATCTGATTTGCTATAATGTTTTGAAGTGAATGCCACCCCTGCTTGAGACAAAGAGGGCCTCAGTGGCAGCAGGGACCCTTAGGCTGTGGCAGCAGTTCAAAAGAACACTTTTAATTTTGTATGCAACAATGTAAACTTCAAAAATAGTAAACTATAACCTTTCCCCCCCCCTTTTTACATAGCATGTGATCTATCACAGATAGAAATTTAATGGCGAACCAAAATCGCGTAAGTAAACATCCTGGTGCTTACAAGTTTCATAAAAAGTGTTACATTTGATGTAAATATCTTACATTTTTAACTCTTAACACTCACAATTATGGAGTAAAAGCAACTGGCGATTCACCCCCTTAGTCCGTGCTCTCAGACTGTACATCAGCAACCACGCTCTTGCCAGCCCCTTTGATCATTTTCGGTCGGATTGTCCCACACGTGATCAAGACTCCCCCTTCCTCACACTGGTGTTAATCAAGCGCAGCTCCACACAGGGGTAAAACCTGCGCAAGTGGGGAAAGAACCAGGTCTCCCGCGCGCAAACTTGCAGTTCCCTGGGCCCTGCATTCCCACAGAAGCCACAGCACGTATGCGGGGCACGTCCTGATGTCGGTGGGAATTTGGCGTCCCCCGGGGCTGCAAGCCTGAGCCCTGCCATTGCAAGTACCTCACGGCGGGACCTGGTTCTGCGTGGATAAAGACAAGAGTTCTGTAGAAGGCACTGGATTTCTCTTGCATGATTTTAAATGTGGACTACAGTCATGTGCAGAATAAGGAGATTTGGGCTCTAAACTGCTTCCTCTCTAGTGCTTTAGTGCAAGCATTTTTAGCGCTTGAATTTTCTCCTGGTTGCAGCGCAACATGCGCTTATCTACATAAGAGTGATTTCCAAACCTCCTTCCTTCCACTCTTCCCCCCATCTTCCCATCCCCGATAAGATTCCCTTTTGGTTCCTTGAAAACTTTCAGAGTACAGCTCTGGTCAAAAATAAACATGTGATGTAGCATAGCATTTGTTTCTTTTAAATCACAGTGTGCAATGCGTCATTCGGTACCTAATGTTCAAAATGTCTGCCCTGCTTTTCATGAAAATCATTCTTTAAAATAACCTATGCAAATATATTTTGACTATATATTACATTCATTTAAAAAGAGAAGAGAGGTTCTTGGTTTGCAGTTTTTTTTTTCAATGTACTACTTAAGTGAAAGGTCTGATGTGAAAAAAGTACAAGCAAACTGGACATGCCAAGACTCGATGCCTTAGATGGTGATCATATCAAAACTGTACAGGTATGTACAGGGTGTTGGACAGGTGTGCTTCTTCCCAAGGAAAGACCTTTGCATCATCATATATAAGGTTAACCACAAAGTTTTGGTAAAAAGAACATTTAATGAGCAAAGGATGACATGGAGGGGCGAGTTCTCCGGCTTTTGTTAGGCAGTCCTGAAGCAATGTCTCCATTCCCTTCGGGGATTTCTTCCTTCTTCCGGACTTTGAGACGCGTGAGGAGCTTTATTACCCAGACGTCCCATTCCTCTGGCAAGAGCAACAGGAGGAAGCCCAGGCCAATAATGATGATGGCGATTACTCGGACACTGTTGAAGACAATTTCACTCGTGTAGTGATCGACAACTGTGTGGGAGATTGAACGGGTGTTATTACGTGGGACAAAGCATTAGGGCAGTATCCCCTTTCCCCCCACCCCGCCTCCCGGGCTCTGAAGGCTGGCTGGGGCAGGAGAACATGACCACGGAGGAGATGGTGGCAGGGAGACTACCTTCCTGCTGGTTCGGCACGCAGTAGGGTACGGCCCCCTTCAGAGCAGGCGGAGCTGGCCTGTGGGCTCAGGGTGCAAAAGAGGACGTTGCCTGGAGCTGCACTTGTTGTCTGTGGCAGCATCTTGTCCCTTGCTCGCCGACAGCCCGGGAACTCCTGCTGAGGTCCAGGTACACAGAGAAAGGGGCATTTCCCTTCCCTGGCATCACAGCTCTTTTGTGCGAATTTTTCTTCTCGGCCTGACTGCCCCGCTGAATAACAAACCCTGCACACCCTGGGCCGTGCACACACTCTGGTGGGGATCACACCGTTCAGTATGAAAATCTGCCGGGGCAGCCAGCGGTGCCTGGCTCTGCCTGCACATAGGCAGCACAAAGCTGGGAGCTGCCGCCTGCACCGTGGCACCAGTTCAGCACGCTGGGTTTTAGGAGCCGGGGTTGGGAGAGGTGGCTCTGGTTTGGGCCAGGGTTGCCTCTGCGCTCCCCTGCCCAGCCCTCTCGGGCTCTGCAGTCTCTTGGCTTTTGCTAAATTTCAGAAAACGGTCAGAGAAATGTACCAGGCCATGCCCAAAATTAAATTGTCCAGTGCTCTTGATAAACGCCTGCAATGTTATTTACCAAGGCAAGCAGAATTACTAGTACATATTAGCTCTAAAATGTAAGCAATTTTATTTGTTTCAATTTAGTGTTAAGCCCGCCTTGAAGAAATCATTAAGAATTGATTTCTACTTCATCCATGAGTTTTCATCCCAGCCCAGAAACTTCAAATCTGCTTTGTTTTTCAGTATGCAGGCTTCTTCGGACAGTAACTTAAAAAGCAATTCTAGAGATTATGAATATTCACGTAATATTATACAATACATATTTAACACATAAAGTATACATTTTTAATCAGTGTCATCTCCATAAGCCTTTGAGAGAAGATGCAAAACATGTTTAATAAAGCTATTTGCTTTTATCCCTGTTGTGTACTTGAAAGGCCACGGATTTAATGTATTCATTAAGGTGCAAAAGGCAGAAATTCTTACCTGCATTCACTGGGACACTCAGTACAATTCCAAGAGAAATCAAGGTGGGGTATGTAATAGCAATCCCAAAATTTAGTAGAATATTGAATGCTGAAGAAGGAAAGAAAAAGACCTTTTATTACAGTGAAACTAGGCAGAGGAAATGTCACTTGAAATGTTTATGCTTTATTACTACCTTCAAATAGAAGGCCTATTAACTTCTGTTGCTATTCTTGGAAGATACCTGTGGACAGACGTCTGTCTGCTGCATGTCCGTCTGCCTGAGACACTGCTGTTTCTGGGGAGCTCTATATCCCACGGGAGTCCAGTGGCAGGATCAGGTGGGTACAACCTGTCTCTCAGTGTAATGTGCAGTGATTCCCACTCTCTATACCAATCCACTTTGCCCTGCTGAAAGACGCTTTTCATCTGGGAGATTTCAGCCAAACAGTCGCTTCTGGCTGGATACCTTTTTTGTTGAAAAGCTGCCTCCAGCTGCAGGTGGAAGATGCTGTAAATCTAACCCTCTTCCAGACAGGAACTTGCTAAATATAATTTTGTACAATGAAATTATAATATTATTATAATATCATTACAACAGAATGATTATAATATCACTCCATTGTGATACCATACACTGTTCATGGAGTGTGTCATGACAAATTAGTAATTGCTTTGGACCAAATTCACCCTTGTTTTACGGTGATTAGCTTTAGCAAAGTGAGGAGAGCCTTGCCAATACTGAACCTGTCAGCAGCTGGGGCTCTGATTGTCTTCTAGTGGTACCTATACATTGCACGCCCCAGTGATCGCTTGCCAAGTCCTGCAATACTTGCTTACAGAAACCTTCCATTGAGTTCACTGATCAGTAAACTGGAGATACTTCCGGAGTCAAGCGTTGTGACTGTTCAGGGTAAAAGGAGCGGGGACTCGAGATAGGGATGGAGAAGGGCTATTTCTGTTTGAAATGAAAGGAACGTTTTAGGAGATGTGATGCTGTCATCCAGTTGAGGGACCAACTGTGGCAGCACAGTCAACACATCTAGTTTAACAAGGAACAGCATCACATTTCTGATGACCATGAATCATTAAAACTTAAATTTGGCATCCCTCCCAAGCAGGGTTCCCTTGGTGGCACAGCAGTGGCAGCAGAAGAGAGGAGTGCCACCTACCAAATTCCCGTCAGCGCTATGCAGCGCTACCTTTTCAACAGTTTCCTGCTCTTTAGGAATAGCAATTAGCTATTCCTGAAGTCAGCAGAGGCGCCGGAGGCTGGCCTTGACGGGCCTGGCCTAACCTGCTTGCTCGGGGGATGCTGATGAGCCCAAGGCAATGCCCTGCCGGCAGGGCTGCTTCCCGTCACAGCCCGGGCGAGCGTCGCTTGTCTCTGTGAGGCAGAGTTCACGAGTGAGGACAAGCTTTACAGTTTAGTCCCACAGCACCTTCTAATGACGGCCACAATATTTTGGCTTGGTAATGAACAGCAGGAGCGGGGTCTACATTGCCACCTAGGAATGGGCTCTCTGCAGGATTTCTCCAGCTAATAATTAGGTTGAGAAGAAGGGAAAACAGCTCCGGTATGTCAGAAATCTACAGCTTGCCCCAGCGGCCAGTTTCTGGCACCCTCCTCCACCCCAAGCAGTGCGAGAGCCCCCATCTACTCACTCAATAAGAGAATCGAAAATCCGCAGAGGTTTCCCCAAGGAACGATGTCGAAAGAGCTCCAGTACTCCACTTTGGTAAAATAGAGAATGACAGGAATACAGGTAACGAAGAGGACATTGAAGACAGCTAACACGGACAGGAATAAGGCAGCTTCTCCAAATTTAGCACTGCCCAAAAGAAGTTTGAATAAAACCTACAGGAGGAAAAGACATGGGTTTAACTCTCTTGCACCGCTCCTCTGGAGGGCTGGTGTCCTGGCTCCAGGGGCTCCCGCGTGCTGGCCACCCAGCCAGTGCTTGGGGCCGAGCGGTGTCAGTCAGCACCTCTGCGGTGACGCTTGCCGGACACCTGAGGCGGCTGCTCATGAAGCTGTGGCGAGCAGCTCGTGTGCCCCAGCCTTTTCCCTCCTGGCACCCTCCCGGAGCACAGGCAGGGGCAGCTGCCAAACGAGCCCAGGCGGGAAGGGGACTCGGCACATTTGGCCTGAAAGGGACCTCCAGAAAGGGAAGGTTGCTCACCCTAGTCTACACCCTTTAGTCTCTTTCCTGCATGCTCCCTTTGGGAAAACCTCAGGAAAATTTGACATTAAAAACGGAAGACTTGGTGGAGCAGGGCAGGGGGAGGAGAGGAAGCAAGGTGTTGAGATCTCCCCGCGTCAGACATCACTGTTCCAGGCCCCCTTCCACCAGAGAGGAGGGGGTGGCTCCGAGGCCGTTCCCTCCTGTCCTCATTCCCTTTGCTTTGACTGGCCCGTCTACCTGGTGGTAGGTAGGCGGGGGGTTCTGTGGTGTGGATTTCTTCTTCCTCCTAGAGACGGATGGAGGAAGGCTGCTGAAATGGGGCCTTGCCATGGCCCAGGCGGGCTGCAGGGTGTCTGGGTGATGGGCTCGTGGGCGCCATGACCAGCACTGCCCTGCCCTGCACTCCGTGCAACCCTGGAGAAACCACCCTCTGTGGGAGCTGAGGCTCCCTCTGACATTCCTGACTTGACCTCCCTGGTCAGGTTTTAAAAGATAGATTTGGTCAGTGGGAAGCAGCAAGAGGGGATATTACACGTACATAAACAAAGAAAAAACCTTCCCCTTAACAACCAGGTTCTCTTCTTGTAGGTACCAACTTCAGCAGCTGCTCACAGAAGCAGCTCCTTTCCTTTGCTGGACACTCACTTCCAGTGTATTTTTTAGGAAGACAAATGAGGTTTTATACCAATGCGCGCAACGTCCATTTTCTCTGAAGGAGGGAGCAGCTTGCTGCCCCGCAGACTCAGGCAGCGAGGACAGCAGCGTCTGTGCACCTCCCCAGGGTGCCAGCCCAGCCTGGGCTCATCCCCAGAAGGCAGCCGGCGCAGCAGCAGCCCCGCAGCCCAGAGCACAGCCGCAGCCTGACTAATGAGACCACAGGATGGGATTTAAAAGCTGTGGTTTGTTAGTGGGAGAAGGGATAAAGAGAGAGGAAATGAGGGGTGTGAGTGGCCCATCCGGGGAGCCCCCGCGGACTGGCCCAGGCTGGGGTCTGTGTCAGTTTTCCACCACAGAATTGCAGAGGATCCGGTGGATCCCATGGGCTCTGGGTACAGCTTTCCCCTGCCACGGGCTGCAAACCAGGGGAGCGGATGGACTCTGACTTACTGGTTTGTGCCGGGATGGCAGGCCGCCTTGCTAGTGTCAGTTGTCTCTTCCCTTTACCTAACTAGAGCCCCGCCGGCAAGACTGCAGGGCTGCCATGCTCGCGGGGCTGCTGCCCGCTCCCACCACCTCGCAGCCATCACTGGCCAGTGCAGCTGTGTTGCCGCTCTGCATAATGGAGCAAAATGTCCCAAAAGCCACTTACTCCTCATTTGCCACCTGAGGATGGCGTGTTGCCCCTGGCAGGGTGGGCAGCTGGCACAGGCAGACTGAAGCGTCCGTGTCTGGGGGAGGAGGGCAGCTGGAGCCGGCTCTGCTGCACGTGGCGCAGCTTGTCTGCGGGCAGATCTGCCCTGCACATGGCACAGCTTGTCTGCCTGCAGATCTGCCTGTCCCTTCCGCACGCACAATTCACGGAAACTGAGCCAGACTGCGGAAAGCAAGAGCAGAGCGTCAGCAGCAGTGGCAGAGCAGCATTTGTTGCAGAACAAGCTGCACAGCTCCATCTGTCCTTGCATGTGGGGCGCACTGCAGACTAACACCCTGCCAGCACTGCCACCATCACCTCCCCGTGCATGGGCTCTGGTGGAGCAGCCCTGAGACCCTCTCTCCCGCCACGGAGTGGAGGTGCCGTGGGAGAGGGGGCAGAGCTAGGTTCTAGCCTTGAATAACCCTCCCCGCCTGCAGATGACTCCAGAGCCATGGCGTTTCCTCGGGTCTGGAGGGCCACATCTCTGGTCTTGCAAGGAAATGCTCTTTTAGAGGAAAGAGCTGTATGGAACTTCATGACCTCCCTTATGTAAGACATAGGCTGATCTGAAAAAGTGAGCAGAAAGCATTGCAGCTCAGCGTTGAGGGACACAGACAGATGCTTCTCAGTTTGGCGAGTCTCCCTGGATTGCTTGTGTTAAGGCTGCAGGGCTTGCCTGGCCAATTTGTGTTGGAGGACTGGTACGGTGCGATTCATTAGACCAGATGGAGATGTCTACACCTCATCCCAGTCTCCACATCTGAGCCAGGGTGGGTGAACCGCACCCTATAAGTGCTTATTCCTCTCTGTGGACTGCAACTCTGCGCGCCATGAGCAGCACAGAGGCAAATGCACACACGTGTCTCAGGCTAAGTGAAACGGCTCTCTGCCCAGCTGAGAAGGCTGCATGTCATCTTACACATAGTGCAGCGTGCCCGGCTGGTTAGGATGAGACCTTGATTCATAGGCATGTGCTTTGGATTTTAAGCACTTGATCATTTCTGTGATAAACAATACTTCAAGTCCAGTGTAGGCTACATATGCCACTGAAGGAGAACTGGCAAGGGGAGGTAACACAGTGACTTGAAAAAGAAGCTAAATCTCTGCAGGGCACTTCCAGAATGAGTCATTAAATCCAGCACCTCTGGAAAAGCAGCCTCTTTTTTCAAGAAGGTGGGGCATCTGTAAGTCCTGCTGTAGGCACTGGAGAAGGCTCTTCCCAGGAAATAGGAGTTTTTATCCAAAGTGAGGGCAGACATCAAAGCAAGTGAATACCTGAATGCAGTGTTGCAGAGTCAGTGTGTTTACGGCAGAGCCCCTCAAAAAGGGCACATGGCACCGAACTGAAGGAAGGTTTGCAAGTAAGACAGGAGCAGTTAAAGTGAGTGACGGGGGTGCTTGGCATCTTCCTGGGGGTGAAGACCCAGGCGTGCTTACCTTGTAGAGAGCAGACATTGAGGCAGAGCCCACCACCAGGGCTATCCCAATAACGGAGTGGCTGTGAAATCCATCAGCGTACGTCATCATAACTATCCCTGCAATAGCAAATATAGCAGCCACGATCTGGTTGGAGACAAAGAAAGAAAGCAAGTGTTACTGGACAACCCCCAACATGGGAATATATGAGAGCAGCTTTAAATGACAGGGCAGTACTTCTGCATCACCTGCTCCCCTCCTTATGTAGAAAATGAGTAGCAAGCCGAGGCCGGCACCCACGGAGCCGATGCTGCCTCCCCTCGTGGCTTCCCTGGCTGCAGAGAAGCTGCAGGCAGAGCTGCGAAGGAGCAGCTGCCTCGGGGCAGCGTGCGGAAGGCCAGACCGCAGGGCCCGGCGCCGCGGGCTGAGCTGAAGGGGGGATTTCATCTCTGTCACTGAGCCTCCCCATCAGAGAGTCCCCGCAGCCTGTGCCTGGCAATAATACACAAGTAATAATTCCCTGGAAAGGCTCTGAGTCCTGAGAAGGTTTTGGAGGAAAAAGGTTTTTGAAATAAACAGGGAAATAAAACTCACGCAACTACTTTCCAGTTCAGACATGTCATTTCAGAGAGCAGAGGGAGGCTCTGTCGGCCAGCCAGGCCCACAGCAATGCCTGAGGCGGGGTGTCCAAAGGAAGGTAGCATTCACCCAGGAAAGGGACAGGCTGCCCCAGATTCAGCAGGGTCAGCAAGAGACGCCTGGCTTCTCTGGGACTGTCCTGCCAGATGCTTCAAGCCTCCCCAGGTGGTAATTCTGGGGTGAAAAGGGCTTTCTGCATGCTCCATGCTTCCTCGATCTGCAGTGGTGCAAGGGACACCCTGCTTAGACCACATCCCCTTTGGCTGCAGAGTCATGGAGATTCTTCTAAGATTATTGAGATAAATGAGTTTAATTTGACCCGTAGCTGGATCAGTGCTAGCAAACTGCCCCCTCTCCTGGGGTTTTAAGCTCCATGCATGGGCTGTGGCTGCCTACACATCCAAGAGCAATGGCCTCCTCTCACCTTTCCTGTTCACCACCAGAGATGCTGGGGCTGCTGTGAAGGTGCAGGGGGAAAGCCTGTGTGCCAAGCTCTGCTGCTGCCTGATGAGCAAGCTGCGGTGGGGGGACCCCTTTGCCACCAGCTGCAGGTCCCCATCACAGCAGCACCAGCAGCCTCTTCCCTGGGTTGAGCTGGGGCTGGTGCCAGGCGGCACCTACAAAGCTTCCACAGACAATCACCCAGCAGATCCCTCCTGCACGCTGACATCAACACCTCCAATTTCCCCTAACAGAAAAATGCACCATTTTTGCAAACAGAAGGGGATCAATTTCTCCAAAGGTGTTGCTGTAGAATGGCAGGGTGGAGCAAGGGTAGAAAAAAGTCCGATTCGGCAGAAGCTGACGCTGCCTGGAAAATACAGCTGCTAATAGCACCTCAACAAGAAGGGGCCTGAGTCTAGAAATTGCTGTACTGCTGTTCAAGATGCTGCATGAGCACAGCTTCGGCAGGCTGTGGAGGGGCAGGGTTCCCCCCAGCTGCTCAGCCCCTTGCATGGCCCAGCCGAGGGGCAGCAGGTTCTGAAGAAGCTGATTTATGACCTGACCAGAGTGGAGCCTGGTGCAAGCTGCAAAGGCTGGGTGCGCACGCTGCAAATTTGGGGAAGTTCAGATACGGCATCTTGGCTTGCAGCTCTGTTGGCATCAGATCTCTCCATGCACAGCTGTGGGACATAATTTCCAAAGCGAGGCTTGGCAGTGGTAACTGGGGCCTACGGTCCTGGACAGGCTTCTTTTTAAGGCAAGGAGAGGAAAAACCCCGATGCATGGCTCTACAGCAACGTGGGGCTGTTTCAGATAGGCAGGGCTGAAGGAGCTCAGCAACCCTCAGCAGTTCTCTCATGTCAGCGTGCTGGTGCTTGTCAAATAAAAATTCTGACACTCTGTGTGGCTTCAGAGGCATAAGAAAAAAGGTCATCGAATGAGACTAGCAGGTGCAGAACAAACAAAAAGAGATTTGTCTTTACCCAAAATATAATTCAGCCAAGGAAAGCTTTGCTGTTGCACACTGTGGATGTGAGAAGTTTACAAGGATAAACTCATGGAATAAAAAAATCCATCAAGGACTATTAACTATAGGAACATCACTTCCACCTCAGGAAGTCCTTGAGCCTCAAATTGCTGGAGACTGGAAAGTGTCATGAGGAAATATCATTATAGGCTTTTCCTGTTTAGACGATTTTTCTCGGTGTCCACTACTGGCAGCTGCTGGAGCCAGGCTCCTGGGGCAGATACACCTTTGCTCTGACTCTTCAAAGAGCTGCAAGATACATGGCTCAGGCTTATCTGAAAGATAAGGGCAACCCCAGCCCTTCACATCCCCTGTCCTAGGTGACAAAGAGTGGTAGACGCAGTGGTTCCTGTAGCATCTGCTCCAGGCATGGCTGTCTCCCATCTGAGATGCGTGGGGCTTGTCCAGCCTTCACTGGAGAGCCCCGGGGGAAAGCACAGCCACACGCCAGGCTGTGGCAACCAGCTGGTACCTCCATGCATCTTGGCAAAGGGAGCCTGCCTGAGCCCCCGCTGGTGGCTGCAACTCCGCTGCAGTGGAAACTTGGAGGGTGCGTTAATGAATTGCAGAGTAAAAAGCATCCAGTTTTGCTTTCAATGTCAGGGGCTGGCTGACTCCAGAGCACCTCCTGGGAGGCTGGGTCTGTGCTGGTTGGAAAGGAAGACCATGATTTGGGATTTGATAGTATATTTATTTCCAAGTCCCACTGGCAGGTGTGCTTGTCAATATGTTATGGACTTGCAAGTGATGGTTCTCCTGAATCCTGAGCTGTTTTATTTACTGTAGCACGGAGGGAAACACTGAAGTCCAAGATCAAAGCAAATAAATGCAGTCTGCAAACAGTTTTGCTGGAGCAGAAGTCCTTGCCTCTTCTACCAAGCATGTCACGAGTGTCAGGTGCGTCTTGGCCTCGCCTGTTGACATGTCAGGTGTGTCACATACGCTTTCTCTGGAAGCCTTTCAGCCTATCAAGTATGTCATTAGCAGCAGTGACAGGCTGCTTGCACTGCACCATGGCTACCGGCCTGCGGTTACTTGCAAATGCCTCAGCACCACAGGGCTTGCAGAGGCAATGCTTCAGGCACTCACAGCTTCATTACACGTGTGTCTTCTCTGAAAGCAATATGACAGCTTGCAGCCCAGTTGGACCGTTGCTCTGGGCACAGTGAAGGGAAAGGAGAAGTGCAACTTCTTCACAGGAGATGTAGGCGCTTACAAGCGCCTGAGCGGCGAGGATGGGATTTTGTAGCTTGCTCTTACATTTAAATTCCAGCAAAATTGTGATTTGAGTGCTTGTAGAGCTACTAGTTGCACTTCTCTTCTGAAGGCCAAGTAGGATACTTGTACATCCTTAAACCCCACTGAGATGCTGCCTTTCTCACCTAGCCTTCTCTGCAGCAGGTGTGAACAGGGACACCCAAATGTGCAGTCAGAGCTTTGCTGCGGCACTATCCATCCTGCTGCACTGCTGGGGGGATGGAGTGGGAGCGTGGGAGGGGTCCCTCTCGCCGCAGGGCAGGGCACCATCCCCCCTGCAGCCTCGTCTGCCAAATACCCTCTCAAAGGGTGCTTCTAAAAGGGTCAGCAGCTCTGGCACAGCGTGGCCCTGAGGGACTGCGAGCTTTGGGGCTGGGCTGTGTTCCGGCTCGCAGTCCCTAGGTCGCTCCCGGAGAAGCCCCAGCAGCTGTCCCTCCTCTTGGTTGCCAGTCCCAGGAAGAAGGCTTTGTTTTGGGGTTCATCCCGAGGCTATCCCCCAGCACGCCAGGCAACCCTCGATGTCTGCTGTTTTTCACATGGGTTATACAGAAAAGGGAGATAAAGGGGAAGAAAATGCACCTCGCCAGGAGACTCCACACGATGTCCCTCTGCAGATAGAAGCGTCTCC